GATATCCTAGAAGACATTGACAAATTCCTGGACATATACATACAGCTTATCAAGATTGACTCATAAAGAAATAAAAATCTTGAACAGACCAGGGATGAGTAATAAGATGACTGGTAATGAAAAGTGTCCTGAAAAAAAATGCCCAGCACCAAATGGCTTCATGGATGAGTAGTACTAAACACTGAAAGAACCAATTCTGCTTAAATTATTCCAAAGTATTGAGGAGGAGAGAATTCTTTCAAACATATTCTACATGGTCACCATTACCTTAATACCAAAGCCTGAAAAGGACACAACAAAGAAAACTAAAGGTCAACATGCTTGATTAACACAAATACACAAATCCCCAGAGGCAGGAAATACACTTCAGCTGTACAGCTACTACCTAGCATGTGTGAGGTCTTGGGTTCAATTTTCCACTCCTCCTCCCCCTCCATTCCTCTCCCCTTCTCTCTGAGATCTGGAACAAGACAAGGATGACCACTTTTACTCAACATTGCACACAAAAGAGAAAAGGAAAAAGTTGGTGGGCATGGTGGTACATGCCTGTACTCCCAGTATTCTGGAGAATGATGCAGAGGATTGTTGAGTTCAAGGCCAGCCTGGGCTACATGGAAAGTTCAGGGGCAACCTGGACAACATAGTTGAGACTCTGTCTCAAAAAATAAAACAAAAGAAAAGGTATATTCACCACAGTCAAGTAAGATTCATCCCAGGGATGCAGGGATGGTTCAATATATGAACATTAATGTTATAAAATATATCAACATACTGAAGAATAAAGAGCATATGATTCTCTCAAAAGATATAGAAAACACATGAGAAAATTCAACATCTTTTCCCGATAAAAACTGAATAAATAACATATAGAAGGAATATACCTCGGCATAATAAAAGCTGTATGGGATAAACCACAGCTAACATCATACTGAATGTGGAAAAGTTGAAAGCTCCTCCTCCTGTATTTTGTGGGGCTGGAGATCAAATATAGGGCCTTATGCATGCTAGCAAGTACTCTACCATTGAGCTACATCATCACACTTATTTTCTCTCTTAGATCTGGAACAAGACAAGGATGACTACTTTTATTCAACATAGTACTGGAAGTCCTAGCCTGACCAATCAAGACAAGAGGAGATATAGAGCATCCTATTGGCAAAGAAGTCATGTAACTGTCACTGTTTGCAGAAGACATTTTTTATAAACATTAAAGACTGTCCAAACACTATTATAATTAAAAAACTCAGCTGGATATAAAATCGACACATGAAAATCAGTAGCACCACTGTAAGCCAAGAGCAAGTCATCTGAAATAGAAACAAAGGCAACAAAACCATTTATAATAGCTACAAAAACAATAAAATACCTAAGGAATAAATTTAATCAAAGATGTGAAATATCTCTATGATCAAAACTACAAAACACTGATGAAAGAAATGGAAGAGAGAACATAAATAAATGGAAAGACACACCTTGTTCATCGATTGTAAGAATTCCTATTAAACTGCCCATATTAACCAAAGAAATACACAGACTAAATGTAATCCTTACTAACATATCAATGATGTTCTTGTCCGAACTAGAAAAAACAATTCTAAAATTTACAGGGAATGATAAGATACCACAAGTAGCCAAAGGATCTTGGGAAAAAATAATAAAGCAGGAGGCACTATACTACCTGGCTTCAAAATGTACTAAAAAACCGTAGCAATCAAAACAGCACAGTACTGCCATAAAAACAGACACCTAGACTAATGATCCAGAATAGAAAGCCTGGAAGTAAACACAAGCATCTACAATTCATGTGTCAATTCATTTTTGACAAAGGTGCAAAGAACACACGTTGGAGAAAGGATGGTCTTTTCAATAAATAGCACCAGGAACATTGGATATCTATATGCAGAAGAATGAAACAACTCTCACATCTCACTAGTTACAAAAATCAACTCTAAATGGATTAGATTTAAGATCCAAAATTCTGAAACTACTAGAGGCTATCATTCTGGATGTTGGAATGGGCAAGGGTCCTGTGAATAAGACCCAAAAAGCACAATAAATGAAAAAGAGACAAGATTTCACCAAAGAGGAAAAAGAATCAACAGAGTGAAGAGAATGGGACAAAATATTTGTAAACTATCCACCTGAAAGCAGGTAAATATCCAGAATACATAAGGAACTCTTAATATATAAAGAACTCCAAAGTCATTAGCAAACAAAATCCCTCAAAACAAACAAATAAAAAACCCCCACCTGATTTAAAAAGTTGGAATCTAACCTGGGCACTGAGGCTCAGGCCTGTAATACTAGCACTCTAAGAGTCTGAGATAGGAGGATCACACCCAGATTAGGCAACTTTGCAAGACCCTGTCACAAAACAAACAAAAACAAGCCATTTCTAAAAAAATAGACATTTCTAAAAGAAGACATAAAAATGGCAAACAGGTTTATGAAAACATGCCTAACATCACTAACCATCAATGAAAAGCAAATCAAAGTCACAAGGTAATGCTTCACCCTAGAAAGAATGGCTACTATGAAAAAGACTAAAGATAACAAGCACGGGTGAGAATGTGGAGAAAAGAGAACCCTTGTATACTGTTAGTGGGAATATAAATTAGTAGAGCCATTATGGAAAGCAGTATGGAGGTTCCCTAAGAAATTAAAAACAGAACTACCATGTGATCTAGCAATCAAGCTGCTGGGTTTATATCCATCCAAAGGTAATGAAATCAATATGCTGAAGAGACATTTGTACTTCCATGTTTGTTACTGCACTATCTACAACAACTAAGAACTTGAAACAACCTAAGTGTCCATCCACTGACTGATAATGATTGAAGAAAATGTGGTATTTAATCAAGATGGAATACTATTCAATCACAAAAAGTATGAAATACTGTCATTTGGGATAACATGGATAGAAGTGGAGATCATTATATTAGGTGAAAAAAGCCAGGCACAGAAATACAAGTACTGTACAATTTCACTTATATGTGGAATCTAAAAAAAGTTGATCTCATAGAAGTTGATAGTAGAATGGTGGTTACTAGAGGCTTGGACAGTAGGGGGAGATAAGTATGAGCAAAGATTGATTAAAAAAAACCCCTAAGTTATATTTTGATGATAGTTAATTAAGTCCTATCATGCTATTGCACAGTATGAAGATTACAGATGACAATGTATTGTATATATCAAAAAACTAGACAAAAGGAGTTTGAATGTCTTCATTGAAAGACATGATAAATGAGTAGACAAATATATTGAACTTAGTTTAAATGTTACACAATATTTGATACAATTTATAAGTTAAAATGTATATGAGCCTGTTGTCATACAGGTAGGTTTTCAAGCTAGGAATATACTTTAATGGGTGGTATTCAAATTTTATATTTCTTCCGGAGTCAGTTTCATTAATTTGTCTTCCAAGGTACTTCTCAGAAGTTGTCAAATTTATTTCAATAAAGATTTTTGTAATATGCTTTCTACATCCTTTTAAATTCTGTAAAATCTGTGTTAATAGTCTCTAAATTTTGATATTGTAATTTTAAAAATGTATAATTGATATTGTGTAATAAGAAGAAAAGGTCTAAAGGAGTAGGGGAAGTGGGAGGGGTAGGGGAAAGGAAAGAAGGGAAAAGAAAAAATATAAGAAAAGAAAAAAAATGGAAACAAAGTCTTTGCAAATAGGGAAGGGTAGAGGGGGTGAAGGGAGGGCAGGGGAATGGGAAAAAAATAAGAACCAAGATACATCATGTAAAGGTACAAGATCCCAATGATGAATGTAACTGTATTTTATACCTAAAATGTACCAATAAACTTAATGGAAAAAAAAACATTACACAATATATAACATACCAAAATATCACACATTTTCTGTTATGGCTTGTGTATAGATGTCCCTTCAAAACCTCATGCAGTCATAGGTGGGGATTTTTCAGAGGTGGCTGGATCTAGAGTGTGTGACACTGGAATTGATTCATGGTTCATTGCTAGGCTCAAGGGCACTAGGACTAAGGGTGTGCTACCTGCCCCAAATAGTTTGGATAAAAAGGCAGAAAGACACTGCTAAGGTCCCTTGTTGCTTTAGTCTCTTCTGCCTATCTGCCATGCCAATCTGCCTTGGAGCCAGATTATGGACTGAAACCTCTACAAACTGTGAGCTAAGTAAATCTTTCCTCTCTTTAACTTTGGGTGTGGGGCATTTTGTCTTGGCAACAAGAGAAAAGTAACTATGATATACCCCATAAATTTTTATGTTTTTATGTAATAGTTAAAATAAATTTAAATTTATTAAAAAAACCTTTTCAAACCACTCTATTCTCATCCATACTTAAAATCTCACATTATCATATTATCTCATCTTAGTGGCTGAAATAATCTTGTTTGTGTGCATGTTTACGTTATGTTTTCCTATAGTAGAACATTAGCTTTAGAACACTACTGGACCATATTATAAGCTTAATGAACACTGTGTGTGGGGGGGTACTGGGGACTGAATTCAGGCCTCTGCAATAAGCTACATCCCTGGGCCAATTACTATTTTGAGAGACAATCTCTCCAATTTGCCATGTTGCTCAGGACTCCTACTGGCTATCCTCCTGTCTGAGCCTCCCAGGGTGCTGTGATTACAGGCATGTACCATCATGCTCAGCATCTTCTTGAAATAAGTAACATAAAACAGAAAATAAAACTAAAATGAAATTAATGTAGAAGTATAGAAAAGGTCACACAATGGCTCAGCCAGTGTTCATGCATCTTTGAATTATATAATGAGAATCATTTCTACTTGATTAATTTCATTTTGTAGATGCTAGGATTCTGAAAGTGAGCAGTTAAAAGAATAACTATATAAAAGCTGGAAAGAAAACTAGTTCCTTAAACTATCAAAGGCTAAATTAGCCATAATTATATCTAGATGAATAAAATTTTTTCAAAAAATAAGCACTTAAGTTTCAATGGTATCATTATAAAAACCACTTCTATTAGAATTTGCAACTTACACAGTCTTTTTGTCCTGTCGGAGAAGTTTAGAAGAAAATTCACTTAGTACTTCAAGAAAAGCCAGGTTAGGAGGTGGATATTCTTGTCCTTTCTGATTCTGGTATTTAAAGGCAAACTCTATGCCATCCCTGGAGTAAAACAAAACAGAACTTCATTTTTCCAGAAAACCAGTTTTACAAAAACATTTGGGAAGGTAGTGCAATCATCATTGAAGGAATTAAAATTTGATAAGTTAAAAAATAATTGAATTTTTATAATGAATTTTTACATATTTAATTATTTATAGTACAAATCTTAAGCTGAGAAAAATAAAAATAGCTATATAGCAACAAAGCTACATGTCTATATGTATTTCTTGGTGGTAATACAATATGCTGGCAAGATAACAGGATTTTCCAAAAATTCACTTCTTGAGGTAGTCAAGATACCAAGTAACTGAAGTTCCTAAAGATTTTCTGTTACTCACTTTTCACAGTAGTGCATGATCTTTTTAAACCTATGTTTCTCCCAGCATTTTCTTACTGATAGATCAGACAAGAATGTTATTAAACTTTCCTTTGTATAGTTTAGAAAATGAGAAAAAAAGGCGTAGCTTAAGTTTTTTCTTCTTCTTTTTGGTGGTGCTATAACCCATGGTCTGGCATATGCTAGGCAAGTACTCTACCATTAAGCTACACCCCAACCCAGTAATTTTTTTAAAAATGCCATACTAGTTTAGACTCTAAATGAAATTAATGACTGAAGTTCTTACAACTTGAAAATTTTATCATGTTATTTTTTTTATCATGTTATTTTAAAAATGGGTTGAACAACAGTTATTTCAATTAACTTTCACTGAACTAGATTCCTTGTAACAAAAAGTTTTCACTTATTTCACTCACTTGTGAAGGGTGGCGACTGCTTCTCGTGTCTTGATTTGGTCCAGTCCAAATGTAAGAGCAAAGCGCCGAGCCAATTCTTTAATGCCACTGACATGGGCAGATGTCCTGTCGAGGTTGGGACCTTGCTCTTGAACAAGTTCATTAAACAACTGGTAGAAAGAAAAAAAGAAAGGCAAGAACCTATAGTCATGAAATTTTAAATTTTACTTTTAAAATAGGTAATATAATTTTAAAAATATGTGAAAGTTATAAAATGATGTAAATGTTTCTCTTATGTTAAACTGTAGAAACTGTTCAGTCATTTACTATTACTAATTTGAGTTCATTTTATACTAGTGGTATGATTAAATAAAGAAAAGAATTTGTTTCTTTTTAATAATTTTAAAAAGAATACATTTTGAGAAGGGAAAAGGAAATATATTTACAGACATGTACTATTCATTTAAAATATTCATATATTCTTTTTATTTTTATATATATGCCAATATATGAAATATAGGGTTCAGAACTTTGTTACATTTTCTCTGACCACATTGTAGATGGGAACATTATATAAAAAATCCACATATATTTGGGTATACAGAGCTGTGATTTTTCTCACCCAATAACAAAATCATATTTTATTTGTTCAAACATTCTTATGCTGGGTAGTTATATAAATTATATATATGGTATGAACTTTCTGTCAAGGTAACAAAAACAAAACCCCAGAGTACTAAAATTAGAAACTTAAATGTTTCTGTATAAATGTACCTTCCCTACTATGTGGAATGAAGTATGGACATACTTTCATCTAAAGCCAGTCCCTCCTTATGTATTGGGTAAGAAAGAAAATCATGTGGCTTCACCTACTCAAGAGTTTTTGCTCCTGTTCTAATTGTTTTCTCCTTTTAACAATTCCTTTTTTACTAGATGCATGCATCTTAAAAATATCCCTAATTTCCTGATCCCATTTTATCTGCCAGCTAAGAATCAATTTCTCTGATTCCTTTCATGGCACAGATCCTGAACATATTGTTTACATCTGCTTTATTTATTGCTTCTTATTTTGTTTACATTTTTTTTTTACTTTGTTTTCCCTACTCCCAGCCCTTGGTAACTATCATTCTCTTCTTTTTTCATTCCCTCAATCCACTCTTATTACATCACTCACTGAAATAGCTCCTGTATTCTACTATTTTGTCCACCTTTTTAGTGTTCTTCAGCAATGCATTGGCTTGAACTAATTTCAGCACCATAATGAACAGAGATTTTTTCAGATTTATGCAGATATAACTGTTTATAAATTTTTAAGCTTTGAAAAGTTTTTATAGTTAATATATAATAGCATTAAACTTTAAAATTTATGGGCCGGGGATTTAGCTCAGTGGTTTCACTGCCTGCTATGCAAGCGCAAGGTCCCGAGTTCGATCCCCGGTACCCCATAAAACCACAAAAATAAAACAAACAAAACCTTTAGAATTTATAAAGTACATTCATTTCATTGGAAAGTGAGAACACTTCACTGTAAATAAAAATTCAAGGAATCTAAAAGTGTAAATTCTTTCTCTCCACTACCAAATACCATTCTCAACAAAGGTAACCAATGTCAAAAATCTGAACATTTCCTACATCAATTCAGACAGATATACACATACATCTTTGTTTCTCATTCATTCATTCATTCATTCATTCGTTTTTTGAAACAAGGTTTCTCCAAGCAGTCCAGATTGGCCTCAAATACCCAATGATCCTCCTGACTCAGATTCCTGAGTACTGGAATTACAGGTGTGAAACACTATACCTGGCAATTTTGTTTTTGGTACTGGGGATCGAACTCAGGACCTTGTGCTTGCAAGGCAGGTGCCAGAACCACTGAGCTAAATCCTTGGCCCTACCTGGCATTTTTATTTTTAAAATTGAAGTACCATATTGCATTGATACCTTGGGTAATCAGTAGCTGGTTCCCAGAGGTACCTTGTGTACCCAAAATGATGAGTTATCAAAGTATTCTGGCTGGTAAGGGTAGTGAGTCAGGAGGCAAATGACAGTGACAAGTTCTAGGTTGTGCATCGAGAACCAAACTAACTTTGAATACTGAGTACCAAGACAAACTTTTCACATAAAAATGCATTCAGTACCAAATCTGATGAGTTTCAAAACAGCTGGGTATCAAGGTATGATGGTAGTTGTTTTGTTCTGAAACTTGCTATTTTCCACTTAATATCTTGTCCTGGAAATGTTTAATATCCAAGTGCCGTGATGTGTGCCCATAGTTCCAATTACTTAAGATACCTGGGAGGCTGAGGCAGGACTGTTGAAGCCTAGCAGCTGGAAGCCAGGGTGGGCAACCAAGCAAGATGAAAAAACCTACTTCAGAGTACCAGTTTACTTTCACTATTCCTCTACACAAGAACATTTAGACTATTTCTAGATTTTTTTTACTATTACAGAGATTGTTGGAATGAAACATCTTTTATGAAAATGTTGTGTGCACACCTGTATGTACATATGTAGAAATGCAGAAGCAAAATTGCTAGTTCAGAAGTAGTATCTTAAAATTTGAAATATACTGCAAAACTGTTTTCTATGAAGAGAAGAGTGGTATCATTTAAAAAGGACTCTTCTCTATATTCTTACCAGTCATTTCAATTCATGGAATCTGCTCAACAATGATAAATATGTCCTGTTTTAATATGTATTTAATTATTAATAAAGCTATGCCTCTCCATGTGTATTAAGTTCTTTCTCTGAAAAAATGCCTTTTTCATAGCCTTTGCTCACTTTTTCTTAGTGATATGTAGGCTTTATTACATATGAAAATATTTCTCAGCTGATCTTGTTTTTTGCCCCAGTACAGGGCACTGAATTGGAGCCTTTTACACAGAACTACATCCCCAGGTGTTTTTCATTTTTGAGACAACATCTCACTAGTCACTAAGTTGCCCAGTCATGGCTCCAATTTGTGATTCATTTCCCTCAGCCTCCCAGAGCGGTAGGATTATGAGCATGTGCCAATTACACTTGGTTTTGTTTTTCAAACTTTGTTCAAATTGCTGACTGGTGTACAAAACTATTTAAGTTTACATAGAGCATCAGTTTTTGCTTTGCAGGTTTTTTAGAAAAAAAGGTTTTACAAATATTCCTTTCTTTTTTTTTGTTGAGACAGGGTTTTCTAGAACTTACAATGTAGCTCAGAGTTTTAAGACAGCTAATTTTCCAAGTACAGAGTCAGCTGACCATCACCACTTAATGAATAATCCTTCTCCTTCCTCCACCAATATGAGACCATTATCAAAAATGAAATGCAGGGGCCAGGGATTTAGCTCAGTGGTTCTGGTACCTGCCTTGCAAGTGCAAGGTCCCGAGTTCAATCCCCAGTACCAAAAAAAAAAGAGAAATGCGTTGTCTTGTCTATGTATGGTATATAGACATGTTCATTGTTGTAGGCTCCTTGACATCTTTATTTCAATTTATTACACACGCACAAACTTGGAATCTCAATTACAGAATACTGTATTTGCAACATATTTTTAAAGTTGGATATTACTAGTGTTCTTGTCTCATTAAATACCTTTTATATGTAGCTTACAATTTTTAAAAATTCTTTATATTCTCAGTTTGACAAAATAGGATTTGTCTATTTGAAATGTGAACCAGAGAATTACCTTCCAAAAGAAAGGGTACATAACCTGTCTTTGTATCAGAGTACCCACAGTATCATGCTGATAAAATGTGCTAGTTTAAGTAAGATACCTAACACATACTAAGCACCAGAATTCTATTCTTTGAATCTCAAACACTATTTTTTTTTAATCCCCAAACATTATTCTTTCAGTCTCTCTTCCTTCCCAATTTCTTACCTGCTGCAAACTGAGAATGAGAGTCTTGGCACACTGAATTTTATCAATCTGCCGGGTTTTACTTAGTGTTTCCTTAATAATATCACCGTAGTCATTGTAATACTGTGAGAAAAAGAAAGCGTAGCTTTAAAATTACTGAAATTTCATGAGATAAAGAACGAATGCTAAAAGAAAGAAGGCTATAAGTGTTTACTTTCTTTATCTTAAATCTAGTAAGAATGAAATGACTTTGTCTAAATTTAAAAGATACATATTTGATAAAATTTAAGATTATGAAGAGACTAGTACTAAAAATAAAAGCTGGGAACACATACCAACTCCCCACAATGATTAATCATTATGTACTGTAAATATGTATAAAACAACATAAAAAAGTAAAAAAATGTTGGAAATTGCAGGAGGAGTGAAGGTGATATGAGAAAAATCCTTCATTCTAACAAGACAGAACAGATACCATCTAAGATGTGACAAAATAACAAACTTAACTTTATTAGAAACTGCCTGGAAAACTGAAACCAAAACAGTTAAAATTTCTTACTTCTGTAGACTGAGCCTAAACTGAGATGAAGTGGAGGGCAGATTAGGTTAACAGATTTAACCTTTCATTTACTATTTTAGGACACTAACTTAGCTGAGTACACAGATCTTTTATAAGATTAGATCTGAATTGATCATGTTCAGAAGTTGGGGAAAAGCCATGAAGCCATCTACTAGAGTGTCATAGCTATTAGCTTACAAAAACAGTTAGAGCTTATGATGAACACAGGTGTGAAAATGCTAAGGATAAAAGTTTTGAATGAAGTTTGTTTCTTTGAACTAATGGAATATTGTTAAGAGATGACTAGGAGACTGGGCCAGGGATTTAGCTCAGTGGCACCATGCCCGCCTCACAAGTGCAAGGTCCTGAGTTGATCCCCAGTAACAAAAACAAAACAAAACAAAAAAAGAGATGACTAGGAGAAACAAGGATTCAACAAATTTCATGCTTCCTGAGAAGGAACAAAAACTATAATAAAAACGGTAAAATAAACACTAGTTAAATGTAACTGAGGTCCAGGTTTCATGAAGAGCTAATGAAAACATCAAGTCATTCCAAACAGTTTTCCTAGGCCAGACAAATCATATCTTAAGACATCTGCAGTGATTATGGAAACATTGTACTCTTTTAGGGAATGGTTCAAAAGAAAAATGTTAAAGGACAGAGGAAGATAATATAGCCCTGATTCTCCACAGAAAATAAAACCATATGGGAAATTATAAAACTCCTTCCTTATAAATACTGGGGCTCCACTTTAGACAATTTCATCCAGGATGAGAGGAATACAAGAATATGTAATTTGGAATAATGCTCCAGATGACTGGTGTATAATCAAAATAAGGAGTAACTACTCTGAATATTACATCAGTGAGCCTAAAGTTAAACCTAAGCAAGACTATTAAAGTAGTGCTTGCGATTACTTAGCTTACATAGTAAGCCCCTATTCATCTATGTAAACCCTGTGTAGACACTGGCCTTAGGAAGACTTCTCTGGTTCCTCTTATAACTCTCTTTCTATACTGTATTTGGTGTTAGCTTTGCAATTTGTACATGCACAACCACAAGAATCATGCTGAGGCTTTGTGGTCCAGTAGAAAGAGCCATGCTTTGAAGCTAGATAGTAACATCAATTCCCAGCTTTTCTTGTGTTTTTTCATTTTTTTTCTCCACAGCTTTTGATACTTTAATTGTTGTATAACTTTGGGAAAGTTAACCTCTCTGAGTCTTAGCTTCCCTATTAGTAAGTGAAGATACGATTTCTTACCTCAAAGGGTTACTGTAATAATCAAAGACAGTATGAAAGCCTTGTAAGACTGTCTCAAATATAAATGGCACAGAATGAGTTGCAGATATTCAATAACATGCTACAAATTTGTTTATATTTATATTTCAGGTCTTCTATTAATCTGTGAGCTCTAGAGTACAGAAATTATGTCATATATAAACCTCTGGCTACCAGTACAGTGCTCATCATATTGCAGTTGTTTAGCAAAATATGATGAATTAGCTACTACAGTTCAGTATCCCTTATCTGAAATGTTTGGGACCAGAAATACTTCATTCAGATTTAAGAGTTTTTGGATTTTGAATTATCTGCACAGACTTCACTGGTAGAGCATCCCTCAAATCAAAGATCCAAAATCTGCAATGCCCCCCAAAGTTGAATCTTTTTGAATGTCTGAGTGCTCAAATACTTTTAGATTTTGGATTAGGATTAGAGATGTTCGATTTGTATATCATAATTGGAAATGAATCATAACAAACATGCATGAAGATATGCAAGTACATAGACTAATACACTCTATTCTGAACACGGGCAAAACAGAACACATCTCTCTGATATGAGAATAAGGTAGATACATGAAAACTGAGCACTGTTCTGTCCTATCTACACCATGAAGTGTTCTGTTCCTCTAGAGGGCTGGGGACAAAATGGAGCTTATGGAAAAGAAAGCAACCATGAAGTGAATATGTTTTTCATATAAGCTCTAAGAAATCCTGGAACAGATGGAATAGATGGAATGGCACACACTGATAAAGAGTTTATACTTAACATAAAAGAGAGAAACTTTATCAGAAAATTACCACAATACATAGGTCAAAGCTGTCAATTTTAGCTTGTTATCATCCATTCATTTTAATTGTACATTTCTTTGCCACTTAGAAGGGAAAACAAAAAATTATGAAATTATACCTTCATGTAGTGTTTAAAGATGTCTGCAGCTGCATGCATGTCAACAATATCATAAATGATAAGTTTGCTGAAGGCAGCAAGTAGATTCCTTCTTTTATGTAAGGCCTCGATTTTATTAGCTTCATCTTCTTCATCACCCTCTAACAATAGAAAATAAATCAGTTTGAATTTTGGTTCTTTATCAAAGTAAAACAATGCAGACTGCATAATGGAAAACTAGCTAACCTTATAAATTAACAAACAGGTACAATTAAGTTTTAGATGAGATAAAAACTGTTTCACTAATAATTTTATTTTTTTAAAAAAAGTGTATTGGTCTTTAAATGGCTCAAATTGCACATAAACGAATTGGGTAGTGGGGCACCAGCCTAAGACATGTGATACGATACATCTTTGTCAGTTGGCTTTATAGGCTAATAACTTTAGAGTGCTATTTTGCTACCCATTTACTGATACTTAATAGGCGCTAAGATTCCCTTCTATGAGAGTATTACAGCAAAGGGTAAAGATCAGCAAATTATATATAAAGAGATTGTTTTCCCAAAATGTTTGTCAATAGTAACACTTTCAACTTCTCTGTTTATCTTTAAAATGCTCTTCTAATTTCTAGATCTTATATATTCCTGTATAGAAGAAACTTCTGAAATTTTTGAGATACAAGCTGTTTTCTTCTAGGAAAATGGGAAGTAATGGAAATACATGGAACAGTTCACTTTCAGTGCTTATCCCAAACATGTCACATTATTACATGAGAAATAAATGTATTTTGCAAACTATACTAAGCACTTAAGACTTCACTGGATTATCTAATCACAGAAAATGTTCCCTATAGGCTCCAGATGTAACATGAGTTTCTGGTTCTGTATGACTTCCTCATGTCCTAACCTACCCTTATTTAGTTTTAGGGTTCTTTCGTCTCTTCTTCAGATGTATATATTCACACAAGAATTTATACTCTCGATATTTTTCCTTTTTTTTGGGTACTGGGGATCGAACTCGCGACCTTGAGCTTGTGAGGCAGATGCTGGAACCACTGAGCTAAATCCCTGGCCCTTTCCTTCCCTTTTATTAATTAGTCCTATTGTAAAGCATCTGTGGTTTGAGAAGTTGGAAATCTCTGTGCTTAAGAATCAGGTGAATTTTGTCTTCTGAGTTTAATAAACATACTCTGTTCCACTGTCCAGTATTTTCTAAAATACTATTTAGATTTTTAAAAAGTATTTGTGGGGATTAAACTCAGGGCTCTGCAGATGCTAGGCAATCACTCTATACCACTGAGCCATAACCCCAGCCCAATTAAAAAGTTTTTTAATAGTATTAAATAGATGTGTGGATCAGATATGCCTTACATTATTTTGAGAGCTTAGGTCATCTATTTCCAAATAACCTAACTAGTTCATAGCTAATCATTAAGCATTCAGTCTGATTTTGCTAAATTACTGTTTCTCAGACTCAACAAATTTGACTAATAATTTTAGGCTTAATAATCTTTCAGCACTTAGTATCTTAAAATTGTATTTTATTTAAGTAATATATAACAACTACTCAGGAATAGAAAAGAACCTTGATGCTTTTGTTCAGAAAAAGTGACTCTGGATGCAGCCAATTAAAAAACATCAAGCTGACATATACATTTATACAAGTAAGAAATGACAAATGTACACAATTATCCAGGTGAAGACTGAAAACTACCAATGTATCTGTGAATGTGAGCTGTATTGTATAAGTTATACTTTACCTACACCGAGAAATATTATGTAGCTGTTAGATGAATATTAACTTCAATGAGAGAAATCTCAGTAATTTTTAGGACTGAATTTAACTTTTTCCCTCTCTTATCTTTTAGATTTGGTAAAACAAGATTAATACTGACAAGACAGTAGCAATAAATACCCATGCTCTGATTCTCCTCATCCTGGTCAATGAAAACATGATCCATCACGAAACTCAGCAGTTCAGACTGAAGTCCTGTATCTGGATTAAACACCAAAGGCTGAAGGCCCTCTCTGCCACCTGTCATTAACTGGTGGCTAAAAATCATCAATAGATCACAGAGTAACATGAAAGCCTAGAATGTAAAGGAAATCCATCAGCAAAATAGTTTATGAATAAAAATACAACTACAAACATGTTAAAAAGCATGAGTGAAATCATGTCAAAAATTTAACATACTTCAACAGCAATACCACAATATAAGTATTTAATTCCAACTCTTTGATTTCCCAACCTGATAAAATGCTTTTTCTCACTGAACACTGATCACATTTCAGATCCTCCCCCCCAAATATAATCTATTTCTTTTCCGTGGCTCTACTGACTCAAAAGCAGTCAATCAAGAAATTTTTACTGGAGTCTTGTTTTCAAATCTAATCTGCTAGCTTGTGTCTTTTAATTGGAGAATTAAGACCATTTACATTCACAGTTAGTATAAAAAGGTATGTACTAATTCTTGTCATTTTGTTGTTTTTCTAATGTTTGAGTCTTTCCTAATTCTCCACAGCTTGTCTATATTTCCTTTGTATTTTCTGCAATGTTGGTTTGGTGGTCATAAATTTCATTAGTTTTCCCTTATCTGTCAACCAAGACATTTTGATTTGAACTTTTAAAAAAATGAGTTAAATTCAACCCTGGAAACACAAAATTGATATAACACATTATGACATATGTTAGAAATCATTTTAAGTTTTCAGATTAAACTCTGTAACTCAAAACATGTTATACTCAAAAACCGGTAAGCTAATCACAGTTGTCTTTTAAAATAGCGAACGTTAAAATTATCCAACAATAGGCCTAAAACTGAATTCAAGACCATTAATAAAAAAACAGTATCTAAAAGCCTCCCAAGAAATTTAATTATAAGGTAACTGACAACACATTTCAACAAAGCTTAACTATTACAGATATGTTGCCAAATTTTTCCTATTTAAATACATGGTGTGAAATAAGTATCTGTCATCCCATTTATGATAATTGAAAGATTTTGTTGTGCTATTATTGAGAACTTCATAACAATCCATTAAAACTAATCCTCTAAAAGTTTATTTCTAAGAAAAAAACCACAACTCTGGCATTTATTTGAGTATGTTATGTATCTGGTCACCCAACTCCAGGAAGAATCATGAGGTTGCCCTCACTGGACAACCATCAAAATATTTAAGATATTTAAGAAGAGCCATTTGAAAAGAGGAAATATATTATTGTCAGGTAAAAGGCCGAAAACCAAGACCAGACCAGGCCACAACAAGCCTTTATTGTAGGGACAATCTGCCAGGCTGTCTCTGAACTAAGGAGAGACAAAAGCAATATGGCCAGGACAGGAAGTGCCTTTTATAGGAGCAGGGGTGGAACTTGTAGGAGCTGAGGTGGGGTTGAGCGAGGCAGTGGCTAGGGACTGGAGGAGCCTGTGATGTCACTAATTGCTAGGAGGAGAGCATGTATTAGATTACTATTTTGGTGGGAGTAGGGGCATGTTGGAAAGAAGGTAGCTATTATATACAGCAGGCCACCCTAAATGGGAGGGAAATCTATCAATTATGTATGTATATTCATTAGTGAAGATCAGTGGTGGTGAACTTATAGCATGAGTGTTATTTGTTTTTCCTTTAGGACAAAAGATGTTAATGTATGAGTTGTTTTTTCTAAACTAAAACCTCAGTATTCAGGTTTAATTGCAGTGTTGGCACTTTGTGATAAGTGTTTTTTGGGTTGGAGTTTGGACATTTGTCTCTAGAAGGTTAGCTATCACTGATGTAGATGAATATACAGAGTCCACCAAAAAAATGTACACATGAAGAAAAGAAAATCTTATATAAATATTTTAATAATTTATTGAGACATCATGAGATTAATACAAGTTACCTTTGGTCCCTACAATTTCAAAAGGTGCTCACAGTGATGGCCATTAGCTTCCAGGCATTTATTAGTATAGCAAATTGATGAAGTATGTATATATTTGGGGGGGGTGCTTTCTTATTCATATATGTATGTATGTATGTAATACATACATATA